TAGTACATTTTGAAATGTGGTTCTCCAAAGTAAAGGAAGATGTTTTTATATTTCTATCCAAGACAGGAAAAAGGGCAAAAGCCAATGTCATATACAATACATCGCTGCCTGTGCTCTTTGGGATCAAGAAATATGCAGACTCATTGTGGGACATTGTGAAACAACGAGACCTACAAGTGAACCTGAGGCAAAACCTGATTGAAGTGCGAGCAGATAAGCAAGAAGCTGTGTTTGAAAATCTTGACAAACCAGGTGAAACCAAAGTGCTTGAGGTAACTGTGTTGCTGTCCCTCAACAGTAGCTTTTACATATATATTAATGACTGCTGTGTTCACTGGACAACCTGTTACACTCTGTGCCATGTTATTTACTTCCTCTTTAAATCCTTAAAAGAAGGTTTTGTCTGTTGTGCCTTTTATGTTATGAACAACCTAATACACTGGGCATTATTTCACTCTTTGCACCTAAATAGAGACTCCTGTGAATAACTGAACCTTTTTTTGTTTTTCTTTATCAGTATGAAATGCTTCATGTCACACCACCAATGGGACCCAATTTGGTGATTAAAGGCAGTCTTCTGGCAGATGAGGCTGGCTGGTTGGATGTCAACAAAGACAACCTCCAACATAAGAGATATCCAAACGTGTTTGGGATTGGAGACTGTACCAACCTGCCCACATCCAAAACGGGTGCGGCTGTCGGTAAGTGATTTCCGTGTCATTATTTTCAACATTGCACCAACGCAACTCTAGAATGCACTCTTATTGATGCTTACAGTTCATGCACTTACATTTATTGTTAACTGTTTGGGATTTTCTGTAATTTGAAGGGAGTTCTTTCCTCAGTAAGTGTATTGCACCCAGGGTTTGGTAATAACGGATTATGTGTCATCGGGGTTATGCAATCATATTACAGAAAATGTACACCAAAGAAACCGCACCCCACATGTAGAACACACACGTTATATGTTTTGTAATTGTTGTTTCTGACCAACTGTAAATGCCAACCATAATCATATTCTGGGTTAATTAATGACGCCACAGTCACAATTTCAAAACGTACAGAGCAAATAAGTCATAAATAAGTCAAATGCATTCTGTCGGTAGAAATCGATCCTACGCTTATAAACAGAACACAGTTTGTTAAAGAGGTAACAGGCTACAGAGAGAAAACACCTCTACAGTGATGATTACTGTGTGTCTTTATTAGTATTGAGTATTATTAGTTACTATTATTAAGTACATTGATCATGTGAACAGACAAACTTATCAAAAGTCTCTCCAGCTGTTAAAGCTGACTGACAGCTGATCCACCTGTGATCAGCTGATCCTCCGTCATCAGAAACAGACGTCTCTTCACGTGACGCTTCAGAGGACAGGACGTCTCATATCTCTTAAAACATATTTCCTCGTTCCTCTCTTCTCGCATGGCTTCCGCCATGCATCCCTGGTGGGAGGGACTAAGACACAAGGAAAGGACACAAGTGAGGGAAACGGGGATGCAGTCAAGAGACTTGGGATGTACCCCATATACTGTTTTAAGTGTCAGGATTTAAAGTATCTGTGTCATGAAATGTATCTAAAAATAGATGATAAACACCGAATGACACAACTGCCTCAGACATCCAAGCAGTTAGTTATTGATCGATAGCTGTGACGGATGGCGCAGACAGTCATGATCCCCTCTGGAGAAGATATTTGACATTTGGTTGCCGCTTCTAACAAGGATTGTGAGCCAATAGTATAATTAGTATCGGGTGGTGTCTCTGTGTTGTCAGTTAAAAAACAAATAAATGGCTAAGTTTGACGGTTCAGTAAATAACAATCCTGTCAAACCCCGGATGCACAACATAGCTGTGCTATATGCACACTCTCACATACTGTACATCCTTGCCAGAACTGGCAACCACTTGTTGTGAAGTGGATGCAATGGAACAGGGAGGAGAGTGAGACCTCTAGTGGCTGAGTGTTGGCACCTTTTTAAAATCAAACTGCTATCTAATCCGACATTAGGACATGTTGCTTTAACAGACTTCTCTTGATTAGAATATAAAAATGCTGTAGACTAAATTTACTTTGCCTCTCAATTCAAGGGAAGTTGTACACCAATTTTACAGGAATTGAATCGAATGCACCCCAAGTCTGACAACATTGTGGCTTCCACACAGAGGATACACTTTTGATTAGGTAAAAGCCTGACAGGGCAGCGTCTTTGTTTAGTGGTTAGCACTGTTGGCTCGCAGCAAGAAAATCTTAGGCTCAAATCTACTGGGGACTTTCTGTACAGGCGTTGATGAAGGCCCATTGAATGTATGAAGCCCCAGATTTTGTTATACGCCGCTGATGTTACGTTTGCATGGTCTCCCTTTTTTCCACAGGACCCACAGTCCATAGACATGCCTGTTAGGTGAATTGGAAACTCTAAATTGTACCTGGATGTGAGTGTCTGTCAGCTCAGTGATAAGCTGGTGGCCTGTTCTGTGTGTGCCCTCCCTGCCTCTTGCCCAGTGTGTGCTGGGAAGGGCTCCAGCCCCCTGACATCTTGTAACATAATATGGATTTGGGTCACATCTTTAGTGATAAAAAAGAGAACTTACACATGTATTATAAAAGTTTACCATGTATTTTATCGTTCTCAGCTGCACAGACTGCTATCTTGAACAGAACCATCAGCAAAGTACGGAAAAATGAGAAGCCAGATAAGATAGTAAGTGACACATAAACATCAATCTTGATTCATCTCTTTGAATTTAGAAAATGATGCAAATACATAATCAGTAACCTCCTTGTTTACAGTATGATGGCTACACCTCGTGTCCCTTGGTTACAAGCTACAACACAGTGATTCTTGCAGAGTTTGACTACAATGGACAACCACTGGAAACATTTCCCTTCAACCAAGCCAAAGAAAGAAGACTTATGTACTACATGAAAGCTGATCTGATGCCTCACCTCTATTGGCATGGGCTTCTGCGGTATGTATAAAGTTAATTAACAGCATGTTAATAGTTGGTAGTAAATAATCAAACCACAATTTATTAATGTTCTGTATTTGTCTTGTGTCAGGGGCCTGTGGGGTGGACCAGGACCATACAGGAAACTCCTTCATCTTGGAATGAAATGAAAACTGAAAATGAATGAAACTACCAATAATCATCCCCAAACTTTTCAGTTAAATTCATTTTGTATAGCCCAAAATCATACATTTGCAATCTGTACACATACAACATCCTCTGTCCCAGGACCCTCGCATTTGCACAGGAAAAAGTGCGAATACCCCCCCCCCCCCCCCCCCCCCCCAAAAAAAAAAACAAACAAACAGAGGAAGAAACCTTATGGAGAGCAACAGAGGAGGGATTCCTCTCCCAGGATGGACAGAGGTGCAATATATGTCATGTTTCACAGAATGAACAACACAACATAAGTGATTATTTTTCTATGAGTGCTGAACTGAGTTACAAACATCTTGGTGGTTATATCATCTTGTTTGCTGCTAAATTCATTGTTGTATTCATTGCTCTTAATCATAAAATGACTGAGTACACTTATAAACCTTGTAAATTACGGTGATAATTAAAACTTAAAAATATACTCCGTATAGTTTCCACCTTGTTGCACTTTGTTATTTTACATCAAACAGTTTTACTGAAATATTGAATGTTCTATTTGACTATCCGTCTTCACCGCAGTTTGTTAATGGGCTCGTTCGAGATGAACTGCGCCTCGCCTGGAAAGTGGACGAGAGCAGCAGGCAGCAGCAGCAGCAGGGGGCGTTGACAGAAAACTGCGGATTAGGATAAAAAATTAGGATTTTCTACAAAACGTGGTGTTTGTTCTTGCAACTGCGGCACCTGTTAGAAGCCTACTGACAGGTGAGACTGTTCAGACTTCTGATTGGTCGAATGATGGAGGAGGCGGGACCAACGTTCTGAACTTCAACCACATTTCGTCCGTCCCCTCGACGGGTGGTCTAAAGTTCACATCGTGTGACTCGTCACACATCTGTGAAAGTCCTGCAGTCTTTACAGAGTCTATGCAGGTTGGACTAAATTCTCCCGGATTTTGTCTAAATTACCGGTCAGACAGACTGTTACACGGGCGGTGAGCTGTAGTGCTGTTCAAGGTAAGGCAAGGCCGGCCCATCATTGGCTGCAAACTGGACGCAATGGAAAAGGTGGTGGAGAGGAAGACACCGAAGTAACTCATATCCATATTGGATAACCCAAACCACCCTCTCCACCACCTACTGCAGGGACAGCGGAGCACTTTCTCCAACAGACTCATCCAGCTCCACTGTCACAAGGACAGATACAGGAGATCATTCCTGCCCACTGCAATAAGACTTTATAATAAATCACCTCTGGCCAAATCATTCACAAGACTAGAACTCCGGTACACTGTTGTTTGGTTTGGTTTGGTTAAATCTTTGCACTGTTGTTTAGTTAGTTAATTTTATTCTATTTCAATGTGTACAGTATATTGTGCATTTTTCTATTTAATATTTATTATTACTTTTTATAATTAAAAAGTTATTTTTATTGCTTTCTGTACCATAAATACTGCTGTAGCGAAAAAATGTCCCCTTGTGGGATTAATAAAGTAGCCTACCTATCTAAATATCACACAAGTGCAGGTTGTTGACAGATTTGTACATTTGAGTCCCAGACAGTATAACTGAGTTTATTGCCAACCACAATGCCTTGTTGTTTCTCACACAGAATGGCTGCACTGTGTCGTCTGAGGCAGTGCCACTCCACAGGCATTGCCATCTCTCATTTTCACACGAGCAGCCGTGCCTCTGCCAAACTGCACTATAAAATGCTTGTTGTCGGAGGAGGAACTGGGGGTATTTCGATGAGTGCGAGGATGAAGAGGATGATGGGAGCTGAGAATGTGGCAGTTGTGGAGCCCAGTGAGGTAAGGATCCGGTGGATTATGATTATTATTTGCTTTACCTCTCTTTGTGTATCACTAGGAGACAACTCAAACCACAGATTATGAAACGTGATGGCTTTCATTCAGCCAGCTGTGAATTCCTGTTTGCATTTTTAGAAACAAGAGTATTTTCCCAATGTGTCATACAGCTTTTCTGTTTCTACAGATGCACTACTATCAGCCAATTTGGACCCTGGTTGGTGCCGGTGCAAAAACTTTAACCTCATCAGGTCGTTCTACTGCGAGTGTTATGCCCTCTGGAGTGAAGTGGGTGAAATCGAAAGTTCAGGAAATAAACCCAGACACAAATACTGTCCGCACAGACGACGGGAATGAAGTATGTTTGCTTTAGGGAACTGTTTGCTTACAGTGTGCATATTGAATAATGTGTCATTTACTGACTCGACATTGAGTATATGAAGTAGATTTATTATGAAATGATTATGATCTATGTGCATCTTTCCCTACTTGGACTTTCTTTCACATTGCAGATCACCTACGAGTATTTGATTGTGGCTCTTGGTTTACAAATCCATTTTGAGAAGGTGAGGTAATGCTTTGTTCATTCCCATATCATGTGCAATATTACTTTTTATTATTTTTTTCCAATATCATTGCCAATATTACTCTTAATATAATGCACATGCATTACTTTTCTATTGTAGTTTACTTATTTTACTAAATCTATCTTATATTTGCTATTCTATTTTGTACTGGTGTTAGTATAACCTCTTATACACTTTTTGTTTATTACTTTATTGAAGAATTTTCCTCTAGATTAATAAAGGTCCATTTAATCTCGCTTTAAAGAATTATATTCCATGAAATTGACACTCTTCTTGTGTGTAGATCAAAGGACTGCCTGAAGGATTTGAACATCCAAAGATTGGGTCAAACTACTCGGTCCAAACTGTGGAGAAAACGTGGAAAGCACTGCAGGACTTCAAAGAGGGCAACGCTGTGTTCACTTTCCCAAATACTCCTGTGAAATGTGCTGGAGCTCCACAGAAGATTATGTACCTAGCGGATGCCTATCTCAGAAAAGTACTT